GACCCTGAACTCACCAGACCCTGAACTCACCAGACCCTGAACTCACCTCTGACCCTGAACTCACCTCTGACCCTGAACTCACCTCTGACCCTGAACTCACCTGACCCTGAACCCTGATGCTTGCAGGCAGAGGAACGTATTCTGAAGAAAGTCCGCAGGAAGATCCGTAACAAGCAGTCGGCTCAGGACAGCCGGAGGAGAAGGAAGGAGTACATTGATGGTCTGGAGAGCAGGTACACCTGAGGAGGAACCACAGGTGTATGGTGATGATGAAGTCAGGATAATGGAGATGATTCAACCAGCTGATGTTTGTGTTTCAGGGCTGCGGCGTGCTCAGCACAGAACAAAGAGCTTCAGCGGACGGTGGAGCATCTGGAGAAACACAACATGTATGATCTTTGATCTTTACTCATCAAAACATTCTATCACAAGAAACCTTTTCTCCCTCGTGAACTCAGCTAAACAGTTTCAGTAGCTATGTTTACATGAGCTACATTCTTTGATGGGATTGAAATATCTCCATTATCTGACGCTTCTCCAAAGTCTCAGAGGCAACAGGTCCAGGAGAGAAGCCCAGACATACCTCTCTCCACAGACATTTTCCAGTTCCTCCTGGGGACCTTGAGGAGTTCCCAAACCAGAGAGGATATACAGTATAATCCATGAAGTGAGTCCTGGCTCTTGCCCAGGTGCCTCCTCCCAGTGGGACTTGTGTAACACTTCTAAAGGGAAGCGTCCAGGATGTTCATAATCAGATGAACCTCCTCAACTCACTCCTTTCGATGTGGAGGAGCAGCGGCTCTGAACTCCTCCCCCTATCGCTAAGGTTGAGCCTGGCCACCCTATGAAGGATCTCATTTCGTATTCAGGATCTGGTTCTATCATGATCCACGCCTCATGACCATAGGTGAGGATTGAAACGAAGACAGACCAGTAAATCAAGATCTTTGCCTTTCGACTCAGCTCTTTCTTCACCATGACTGACCGAAGCAACGCTCTCATTACTGAGGACGAGGCCTCAATCAGTCCATCCATCTCCCACTCCATCCTACCATCACTCATGAACAAGACACCCAGATTCTTAAACTCCTCCACTTGAGGCAGAGACTCTCCCCGACCCGGAGGGGGCAGTCCACACTTTTCTGGTTGAGAACCATGGCCTCACTTAGAGGAACTGACCTTTATCCCAGCTGCTTCATACTCGGCTGCGAACTGTCGTAGTGCATGCTGAAGGTCTTGGTCCGAAGACGCCAACAGAACCACATCATCTGCATACAGCAGAGACGAGACCCTGTGGTTCCCAAACCAGACACCCTCATCTCCACGACTGCGCCTTGAGATCCTGTCCATAAACACTACAAACAGGATCAGAGACAAGGGACAGTCTGAGTTCAACCTGCACTGAGAACAAGTTTGACAAGCTTGACACCCCACACAGAATTCCTTGAGGAACACAGTCATAAGCCTTTTCCAAGTCTACAAAACACATTATTTTTTATTTCACCATTATTTAACCGGGCAAATCCCACTGAGATCTCAGATCTCTTTTTCAAGGGAGACCTAGGCCTGAAGGCAACCTATTGTATATGTTTTAGGGGGTGGGGGAAACCGGAGTACCCAGAGAAAACCCATGCAAGCACGAGGAGAACATGCAAACTCCACACAGAAATACCCCAGGTCCGAACCAGGGATCGAACCCAGGACCTTCTTGCTGTGAGGCGTCAGTGCTAACCACTGAGCCATCGTCCCCACCCAAACCAAGTACAGCCTGGGACAGGGAACGATTTACTTTCCTGAGTCGCCAAACAGTTAGCCAGAACCTTCTTGAGGCCAACTAAATGTCTTCATGGCCTCCCCGAATTCCTCCCATCCCCAAGTTGTAACTTCTCTGTAACTTGTAACTTCACCCTGTACCTGTCAGCTGCTTCAGGAGTCCTCCAGGAAAGCCAAGTCCAGACGGCCTCCTTCTTCAGCCCGATGGCCTCCATCACTTCTGGTATCCACCAGCGGGTCCTTTGGCTGCCACTGCACCTGACACCAATGACCTTCAGGTTAGCTCCTGGAAGCCGCATCTGCAATGGAGGCCCTGAACATGGCCCATTCAGATTCCATGTCCCTGACCTCCCTGGGACGTGAAAAACTCTTCTGGAGGTGTGAGTTGAAGATCGCACAGACAGGGGGCTCTGACAAACGTTCCCAGTTCACCCTTACTATACGTTTGGGTTTACCAGGTCAGTCCAGCAGCCTCCCCTGCCCCCGGATCCAACTCACCACCAGGTGGTGATCAGTTGACAGCTAAGCTCCTCTCTTCACCCGAGTGTCCAAGACATAGGGCCGCAGGTCAAATGACACAATTACAAAATCGATCAGCGACCTTTGGCCTAAGGTGGCCTGGTACCAAGTCCACTTATGGACCACCCTATGCTCAAACATGGTGTTCGTTATGGACAACCTGTGCTTAGCACAAAAGTCCAATAACAGAACACGGTTCAGGTTCAGATCAGGGAGGCTGTTCCTCCCAATCATCTTCCAGATAACTCTATCATTGCCCACTCTGAAGTTACCCAGTCTCAGATCAAAACATTCTGACCGAGCCTTTAAATTTTGTGTTTTTATTCCGAATGGCTATTTATTCCCATTACTGATGTCCATGTAAACATAGCTAATGATTAGTTTGATGAATGTTTCTGCCATGACGTGATAGTTGTTTAACGAGCTGATGGAAGCCATTTGTTGTTGTTAACGAATGGATGAATGTGATTGGTTTCAGGTCTCTGCTGGCTCAGCTGCAGCAGCTTCAGGCTCTCATTAAGCAGACCGTCAGTAAAGGAGCCCAGACCAGCACCTGTTTACTGGTACCAGCACCTCTGCCATCACACCCACAATCAGAACAGGGTTTGGTTCTGCTCCGGTGGTTCTGATGAAAATCTCTTCTGGGTTTGTTTCCTCAGATCATTGTTCTTTCTCTCGGCCTCATCATCCTCCCCAGTTTCAGTCTGTACAGCCGCCGAGCTGCTGACGACGACTACAGACCAACAGGAGGTCAGTTTCCTTCCAACATCACTTCCTGTCACTGCAGGAAGTCTCATTGTCTTACTTCCTGTCACAATAGGAAGTTGACAGGAAGTATACAAATGGTGATCAACAAATGATTTAAGTGATTGTTTGGGTGGCAGCAGCTCAGTGGCTGTTCTAGAGACCGCAGGTTTGAGCCCTGCCAGAGGGTGCAGCCTAAAGAAAAGCAATAATTGTTTAAACGAGTCATTTATCTGAATGTTTCTGAACATTAGAAACAATCAGAACCACAAATCAGTCATAACGATGAGAACAGGTTCTGTGTCAAAAAGTCAGTGCTGTATAAAGTACCTCAAAGTCATACTTGAGTAAAAGTCTTAAAGAATATGACATTTACTGTCCTTAAGATGTAAAATGTAGTTAAGCATTAGGAGTAAAGTGAGTGGTTAGCAAAGTGACTTTTGTTGGCAGGTATGATGGATCAAACTAGTAGATATTTATACTTCTCATCCAATCACAATACAACTCACTCTGGAGGCACAGCTTATCTGGACAAGTTTTTATTTTTAACAACTAGACAGAAAGAAAACAAGTCAAAAGGAAACGGGAATAAACAACTTTTTCTTACCTGTTTTTTTATGTAAGGTTAAAAATGTAAAGTTGTGATTGATGATGACTTTGTCTTTTTTTTTGGTGTCACTTCAGTAGAAAACAAAACCAAATATTATTAGTTTATTTAGATTATATATTTCTTCATCATCAGTGACTTTTTTAAGTGAAGAGAAAATAGAGAAAAAGAGAAAAACAGAGAGAAGTGATTAGAAAGATTGAAATAGCGATGAGAAGTTTATTAAATATACACCAACAAAACACAGGACCACACACCCAACATCTGTCCGCTCACCTGAAAAATAAATGGATAAATTCATGGAGGGCATATATATAAATTGTGGTGGAACTAATACTTTTATGTTTAATCCAGTAATTCATGACATCCTTTAATGACCTAGGTTTCCATGACCTGCTGTTCATCTGCAGACAGAATGATTAAAGTCAGAACAAGATTTACTAACAACAGTCATTCTTAGATATCACTTGTGTTTATCTTTGTGTTTTCCATTGACCTTGTATCAAATCTTGCTAAGATGACATGATGGTGTTTGTTAATACAGGTGCTGGTCATAAAATTAGAATATCATGAAAAAGTAGATTTATTTCAGTAATTCCATTTAAAAAGTGAAACTTGTATATTATATTCATACATTACATACAAACTCATATATTTCAAATGTTTATTTCGTTTAATTTTGATGATTACAAATG